CCTCTACATAAACACGAACGCCAAAGATGTAAACAACATGTTTTACATCAATTTTGAACAGCGTTTTCTTTACTGCCTGCTCCAGCCGCCAGCATCCGTGTGAAAAACTCAATCACACAAGGTGCAATTAGTTCGTCCTATGCTGTTCTTAGATTACTTGGAATATTCACTTATCATTCTCAATTCCTAATATATGTGTTCCTCCAATTTCTAAGAATTCTTTCCATCCATATCAGAGTTACAAACTGGTATTTCCTGACGCGAGGCATTTGCGTGTGTGAACTGTACTTGCTCCATCACTATTGCTTCTGCATTTAGCAGACCATAGCCAGGACCAACTCAAAATTTTATTCTTATGCTGGTGTCACTGTTAGTGATTCACATGTCACAGCTAGAGTCACTAATCTTTCACCCCAAGTATTTTCACCACTACTTGATATTAAATTTTGTAATCTGGCTAAGTATTGAGTTCCTGTTGAACTGTTGTTGCTCTGTTTACAGGCATTCCGTTGTCGTGGTTTAATTGTAAGGCAATAGTCCCAGTCGTCGGGACAGCTGCCCTGACTGATTGTTATCTATAGATGCCTGCATTTGCGCCGACCGTATTCTTAATTCCAATGGTTTAACAGTCTATAAAATATCAAGTGATGCCTCTAATGTTTTGCAGTTGCTAATGACAGTGGAAGTTAAGGTTTACATGCATTGGTCTTGATTGCTATCAGCTATCCGTAACGCAGTAAGATGCAGTAAGCTGGGATGTTGCTTCACCAGCAAAATCCGTATAACTGTTCTCCAACTCGTGATGTATTTCATAAAGCTAGATGATCTACTTGTTATCTCCATCAACACATCTAAATTGTCTTTGCTTGCATTACGACACGGTAGTGATCTGATTGGAGATTCCCATATTGCTTGAAAATCTCTTCGTACTGATAACTGCTGCCTGAAGCTCTAACAATATGCATGAATGTCGTTTGCACTTGAATAGCCCACTAACAGCCCCTGTTGGTGATGATAAACTAATATTTCCCAGTATTTGTAAATCTGTTGCTACTCTTGCTTCTAACAGCAAATTTGAAAAGCCATTTACGTGTAGAACGTACGAAGCATTCGGTGCAGTTCCTATTCCTACCTTGGCGGCTACTTCCGTTCCTGCTTGTAATTCTGCACCTGTTGTATCTTAAAAATCGCTGTCTGTAGATTTCACTAGCTCCATCTGAACAATTTATTTCATTACTTCTAAGTTACCACTTGGGTCCCAAATCTTTTATTCTTTGTAAAACCTGAATGTTGTTACCTCCTTTCAATCATAGCACCTGTTGAAAGCACGAAACTGCATCAGACGTAGCAACATTGCCATTCGCATTTAAACCTACTACTGAGCTACCACTGGTAGCATTAGACTTTATCTTGTCACTGGGAGCATTCGATTCCAATGTTTGGCCTCTAAAGTTATATGATTGCAAGTGTTGGTAAATATTGAAATCAAGGTATCATCATCTGGCGCTGTTCGTAAATTATGAAATTCTACGCCTTCCTCACCATCTTGATTCCAATTCTTCTTGGTTTGTGGTTAACTGTTCCGCCTGTAGCGACTACAACCAATAAGTGGAAAGAAACTTATGATATCAGCAAAAGTTGCTGCATCTTCTTCTCAAAATATTTTATCGTCAATCTGTTGGTCCGTGAATCGACCACCACCTACGACTAATGCATCTATTTCGACTCTATTAAGAACAGTTTCTTGTCAACTTACTGTTAGTTTGTGTCTATGCGTCTTGGAGTATAGTACTCTGAAGATGTTGAATCTACGTCTGAACTACTGGATAGATGACTGTTTGTCTGGTCATCCGTACCCATAAGATGCGATGCCGAACTACGATCATGCAAGTTCTATAGTTGATTTGAACCCGCCACTGAAATACCGACAGCATTGGCTGATGTGTTTGAAGAGTTTGCCGTGTTGATTTCGACAATTCCGTTTTTTGTATCCAATATTTCACTTACACCCGTTGAAGATGACAAGAAAAGTCTATCTGCATAAAATGCGGGTTGCAGTTTCTTTGAAGCCATCATTAAGGTGATTTAAATCTTAATATAGATAGAGATAATAGTGAATCATTTCAAACTTAAAACATTCACTCAATTCGAAAAACCTGTGTTGACACTGCTGTCACAAAAACTCTTTCAATACCGAGGTGAAATTTGCACTCGCTCCTGCAATGTTGAAAGTCTTTAAAGTTCCCATGTTAGTATTACTTCCCGTAAAGATCATATCAGGCTGTTTGTCAAAGTGGATACATACAGAAGTTGAAGTTTCGTCATCGGCACAACGATAAACGTCGATACTAAATCCATCATAATGAGGGCTCTCTTCTCAAGAAATACATGAATTCATCAACAGCTATTTTCCTGTACTGAGTATTTCTTGTTAGGCAATCAGAAATTGTGATGGAATCTGGTTGTCCGAGTCAATGACACCCTCGGAACTATCAATGGTTCCCACCATAGGATGGAACAAGCACTTCCATCTCCTCGTATCACAGTCGCCTGCGTTATTGTCATCATTGCTTTTACTATCAATGAATCTAAACAACATCTGAGATAGATCAGTTGAAAACGCAAATGTTTGTGAAAATGAATGATTAGAACGATAAATCATTCTAAGCCTAAGCCCCTTTCAATAAACGAGAACCTAAACTTTTGTTGACGGTAGTATACACCTGTATCACTTCACATCTTAAAGCTGCATTCTGAATTGCCTACATTGTGGTAGTTTTGCGTGCTGCAAAGAACAATCCATTTGCATGATTTTCTGCACATGCCCTGCTACTGTTGCTGAAGGTCGGATGACTGGTTTACCTGCATCTGAAACAACCAACACAACGAACTCAAGCGGGCAAAAGCGTAGAAGTGGATAGTATCCACATGAAGCATATGGATCGCCTCGCCGACACTCTCGAAGATGCTCTTGGAATGCTCGGTCAAGTGATTCATGTCTTGAGACTAGGAAATGGCGAGGGGACACCCACTCTGACCTGGAAAAGCCTTCAACTCAAAACATGGTTGCGATCATGCGCTTTCAGCTTCAACAGCACACTGTTACAAAATCAGATGCTACATAAAGTCTCTTTTTTGAACCCGCACTGAAGCCGAGGCGTGCCATTGGAAGGGAGGCATACACTCGAGCTCTCGGGCAAACCCGAGAACAAAACACGACTAAGACTGGTCAAACTGACCTGTACTGGGAACGCAACGTACCTTCAGCAGCGCATTGCGGCTGATGTCTTTCTCATGCAGCAGACTGATGCTATCAGTCATGTACAAAAGTCAGACTACAATAAAATCCACAACAAGCGAATTGGAACAGCTCCGGAAGGGGTCGCTTAAGCTCCGGAAAACGCAAAGAAGCACATCGGCAATTGAGTCACTCGTCGCTCTTCTTTAGATTTGCTTGTTCTGAGGACTCAAATCGGCAGCAGCCGATAGTGTGTCAGACATCTTGTCAATATGCATGAAGCAGCTCGCAATGGCAGAGCAAGCTTTGCGCATTTGCATTGTCCACACGTCTACGAACCCCGCGGTGTAGAGAAAGGCGAAAGAACCGCCCAACTGCACCGACATCTTGGTGATCAGTGTGAGTTCCCACAGAAAGCGCATGTGTGCAAAGACGGTAATCCATCCTTCAACCACTGCGACTGCAGTCAGCAACTGCATATTGATCTGGTGAACACGCACATAATCCATCTGCTTCCACGAGCCTCCGGCGCACAAGTGGCCAGTGAACAGTAGCAAGTTGGTGGCGTCGAAGGTGATGGCCCAAAATGGCCGGATCAAGTACTCGATGCTCTGTGCCCAACGCGCACTGTAGGCCTCCAACGACATGATGTTTCCGACCAAATGGCGAACCATCACACCAAAGCCATACAGCAAACCAAGGACATGCACTACAATCATCAGCGATGTGTACTTTCGCCACGAGGGCTTGATGCAGAGCATGGCATTGAGCACCGCGACGATGTTGAAAAGCCCGAACCAAGGAAACAGGATCACGTACTCCTCCATGTTGACGTCCCGATGACCTTTCGACGAGGGCTGCGTCCAAATCCTGCAGAACATCACTATGAATCCCGACAGAACCTCCAATGGGAAAATGTCGACAAGAAACACCATGCCCACACTTTTGTGGGCCTCCTTGTTTTGGAATGGTGATCTCACGAATTGGTGTACCAGTAGCAGAGTCATTACCACGGACACCAGGTCGTGGAGCAAGAGCACTGGCGCAAGGATGGGGTGGTGAGTCGGGTTGTTGCCCAAGAAGGTTCTGCTTAGCTCCATTTGCGACAAGTCCACATTGCGATACTGGAGGATACTGCCAATGGTGTACGCCAACAGGAGGGCACACGAAAGTAGTCCGAACTTCATCGGAAGCTCTTGTGACTGTCACAAGACCAGGTGCCGGGGGATCGACGGGGGATCGATCTACTTTGATGTGCTGAGAGCCCCTTCACACTTGCAGCTTGATGTCCTACTTGTAGAACAAGCAGCTGAAATTCTTCAGCTCATGATCCCTCTGCCTTTTTGAGTATTGCTGCCGTGCTTCGCAGATTGGTCTGGCTAAGGGTGTTGGAGGTACTTTCACTCACCTTTTAGGGATTATCGACTAATCCAATACCTGGCAGGTTCCCCCACACCCAAAGCATCGCTGGTTCTACACAAAACAGGCATGCTAGCCTTGGCTTTCTTCAGCCAGAGGGCTGCCAAAGAGGTCGTTTTAGAAGTGCACTTAAATTAAGATGTGCATCCCAAATGCTGCATAGAAATCTACGTTTACATCGTCTGGCGCAATGTGCTGCGAAATTTGGGATGCACCAGCACGGCACTCCGCGGAGAATCCAGCGACAGCCAGCAACATGCTTGGCTCATCTTTCACATCCGGTTGCAGGCCCAAGGCAAGCTACAAAGCTATGGAGGACCTGTGTCCACCTGCCGGCAGAGGCTCAAGCAAGGGTCCGCATTGGATCCGGTGTCTTCTGGTTGTTGTACTTGTAAAGGGATGTGAGTGTCTTCCATCCCAACTTCAGATCTCCGATTGGGTCCTGAGCTCGACAGGCAACGGGCCACATGTAACTGCAGGGCAGGGCAATCTACTAAGCCACTCATTTCGAGCAACAAGACGATAGCTTGCAGTTCTGGGCGAGATTCGTTGCCCTGGACTGTCTTATAGAGATACGAATCGAAGGTCACCTTCTGCACGTACTCCTCCTCGCAGAGTTCGACGAAGCTCTCCCTGGCAGCATCGCTGGTGTAGAAGACCTTCTGCAACAAGTCCAGCACCAAGTAAGTGGGCCCGTACTTGGAATCCCACTCCCGGATGTGCTCCATGAGGTCCGCCTCATCGATCATGCGGACTCCGCTCTTGGAGCTTTTCACAATCGTCTCAGCACACATGCGTCCGCTCTTGGCAGCGAAGTAGATGCCTTCGCCCGAGCACTTCGTCACGTATCCGGCTGCATCACCGACAAGGATCGCCCTGTCCTTCACTCGCCAAGGCCTCGGATGCTCGGGGATGGGATGTGCCTCCACCCTAATGATCTCGCCACCATCGATGCGAACAGCCGCCCTGTCGCGAATGCCCTGCTGGTACTTCTGAATGCCTCTCTTGTCAATCACAGTGCCAGTGCCGACGGCCACATGATCGCACTTCGGGAAAACCCAAGCATAAAAGTCGGGAGAAACATCATCTCCAACATACATCTCGGCCCGGTCCTTGTAGTAGTCCATCTTCTTCTCCGGTATGCGCATGCGCTCTTGGAATGCAATGGCATACTCATAGTCCCCCGCCTCAATGTCCTTTGCGACACGGCTGTTTGCCCCATCAGCACCAATCACCACGTCGACTTCCAGCGTCTTCTTCTCGCCCTTGCGAGCATTGCTTGCCTCTTCAGCAAACTCGTTGAAGGTGAGGACGTACGGCTCGTTCTTTTGCTGTGGAATGGTCATACCCATGAAAAGCCCGTTGATCAGTGTGGCACCGTTCTTCTTGGCCCGCTGTCGGAGGAAGTCATCAAGGACCTCGCGGCGAACCATGCCAATGAATTCGTCATCCTTGAGGGTCTGACCAATCTGGACTTCCTTGTTGGTGGGCGAGATCATGGTCATCTTTTTGACCTGCCGGTCAACAATGTCCTTGGGAAGGCCGAACTCGTCGATCATGCAGAGCGGGATCGCGCCGCCGCAAGGCTTGCAGTTGTCCATCTTCCGCTCGATCAGGTAGGTCTCGATTCCCTCCTGGGCCAAAGCATCTGCAGCACTGGCGCCTGCAGGCCCTCCGCCAATCACCGCCACTCGAAGCTTGCGGCCTTCAGGCAGCGTTGCACCTGCACAAACAATCACCTTGGCGTTCGCCAACGAGCGAGGCTTGTGCATCTGGGCGGTGCTGGTGCAGCCGTTCGCCAGGGTGGCACGCTGCTTTCGCCTTTGCCCTGCTGCGGCCATGGCGCCCAGTGCGGCGACACCCGCCACGGCGGCATAGGTCGAGGAGGTCCCAGCTGCCTTTGCGGGCGCCTGGTTGAATCCACGTAACGACTGAGTCCTCTCCACCGGGCCGGCGGAGCTGGCCGATTGCAACGCGACGAATGCGGACATGGCGATCACGGAAGCAAAACTGCCTACTTGAAGCCAGACTGCGAGGTGTTGCACTCTCTATTTATTGGCAAACAATACCACTTCACGATCTACAGGAGGATGATAGGCTGACCGCAGATTTCGGCATATGACGCTCGGCAAGCGAGCTTTTCTGCTCGAGAAGACCGCGTCTGTCTCAGGTGGGCAACGGAAGGCCCCTGTAGAATGTGGAGCACTCCACTCTACGCATGCAGCGATCGGGCATGACTCGCTCCTGCAGCTCTCAGCTCTGTCTGCCCTGGCAGTCCGGAGCCAGACTCACGAGCGTTCGCCGTGAGCAAGCGTAGCAGAGATCCGCATCTGCACTTACTGCAGTGGGGCGCAAGCCTGAGACTCAGCCAGCGCTGCTGGCCCGTCTTTGCTGCAGAGTCTTGCGAGAAGCTCAGGACGACGGCAGCGAGCAATGGGTGTGCGGCGCAGGGACGTGGACTCTGCGAGCTCAAATAAAGTGTTTCTTCTCGTAATATCGCATCCGGTTGAAGAACATGGCGCCGAGCACCGACACGCAAACTACCTGGCAACATCGGCATCCATTTCAAAAGCCCGCATCCTTGCTGCATCAACGGTTCCCAACTGCACTGCCTTTTGGTCAGCAGTGGCAAACTCAGTCGACATCAAACCGGCCAGAGAGACGATCAAAACGAACAGCAGCTGGCTTTGAGAAGAACCTCGTAAAGACTGCCATGTATTCAGGCGCATGTAGATCACAACAAGCTCTCCATGAGATGGGCACCCGACCTGCAGCGGCGTAATCCTTGACCGTCTGGGACTGATCAACAACAGATTGGACCTTCAAGGACTCTCCACGTCGCTCTCTGACTCTCAAGTCTCCGGTGCGCCTTCTGCTTGGCATCTGCTGACCCCATCCTTTTGCTCTGAGTGTCCTGTGGAGGGCGGAGTGTCGCAGCATCGATGCCCTTCGATGTTCCTTTGTCTGGGGCCACACGCCTTCAGCCGCGATGCGGCATCCCGGGCTTGCTGAAGCGCCGCCTCGTTGACCTCCTGCACGAGCGAGCCCCATTTGGGACACGAGCATACTCGGGTGTTTGTTTCTTTGGTTTCCTGTCGGCGTCCTGTCAGAACGAGACAGCAACAAGTGCTGTGCTCACGGCGTGTTAGCCAAGCTCCTACTACGTTCCAGTAGCTCATAGTAGCTCCTTTTGAAGTAGCACAAACTGTGGCCCGGCGAGCACACCGCCCTTGAACCGGTGCTCACTTTTGCGCCCGCCCGGCGCACCCACCGCCCACACGGCGCCGGCACTCCCAAAATGGCAGGATCCAAAAGCCGCTCAGGCGCCCCATGACACGCAAAACCGATCCCCGAGGATGGATGACCATGACCTGGCTGACCGGCGCTCGCACACGGTGTCAGCCCTCTCGCCAGGAGCGAAAGGCGTCGGCCCTGGAGACGGCGTCGGAAAGCTTCGGCTCTGACGGGCTCGCAAAGCTCCAAGAGGCCGCGAGGATGCCGTTCACAGGATTGACCGAGGATCTCCAGGATGGAGATGAACGCCCAGCCGCGACACCCAACATGGGCGAAGCGGCGTCTGCTGGGGAAGAAGCACCCATCACATGCGTATCCACCGGCGAAGAGATAATCGGAGGCGTCGGCGAAACAGGATGCCCAACCATATCCAAGCCCGCCGCGGCCCGCAAACTCTGCAAACTCCGCGGCGTAATCGGCAAACGAGGCGTTGCCGGTGGATGCCATGACAGCGACGCTACACAACGCGCTCGCAATGCCCATCTTCACAGTTCCAGCAGCGCACCTTTATGGGAAAGTTTGGCTCCGATTTATCGACATGTGTAACATCCACTGCAAACATGGATTTTCGCCCTGGCTGAATGTCCTGACACGGCAGCTAAGGGCGGCCGGTCCCACGATTGACACAGGACATTACCACACCTCCTACATCGAAAACTCAAACATCGCCTGCAGTCAGGCTGTTCGCTGTGCTTTGCCGGGAGTCTGCAACATGCTTTGTGCACATCTGTCTGATATGACAAAGACTGTAGCTCTGCGTAAAGTCCAACTGAGACCAGTTCAACATACTTGGTCAATGCTGGAAGAGGCTTCTTTCAGATCGTGAAAGACTGGAACACACGAACATTCGCCAAGAAGAAGACTTTCGCGGTCGCAAAAGAATTTTGCAAAAACACTCATGCTTTGTGATAGTCTTCCCGATAAATGCCAGAAAATCGCGGTCTGCTCATTGGTCGTTGGCATGTAATCTCTTGGCAACCTTCTGGCACAGGCCGAGCAACCTCCCAGCAAAGGCAGCAAGCTTTTAGTTGGAAACATTCGAAACGTCTAGACAAACTACATGGAAACAAGTCTTTCCCAGACAAAATCCATGCACAATGCCTGCACTCAGTAGCTTTGTTCTGTGCAATAAGACTCAACCTGTAGATTTGTGTGCACGCCATGATTTTGCACGAGCATGCATCAACGATGTCAAAGGCCCCCCATGACCAAAACATTACCAAAAGAAATGGGTCAGGGGCATATGACTGCAGATTGGCCTGACGTTTGAACACAAAAGCCATCTTAACGCGTTTCAATGATTGGAAGACTTCGCGCGCTCCGAAACACTGCCGGGGCCAAGATCGATGGGGCTCGGTGGCAAAAAACCGAGCTTGCTCTTACTTTCTTCCACCTTCCGCTGGCTGCCTCCCCCCTCACTTGCTCCGTGCGAACCTCATAAGATTCCATACCAGCGGCCACAGGCGTTGCGCCGTATTGGCACTCAAGTTTGGCTTATCATATTAAGTCAGGAAACTGTCGTTGCCCTCAGAGCCCTGGACGGTGGGTTGTCTTGTCAGATCTGTGAGAACACGTGAGAACATATTGGATTCAAGGTTTCCTCCTCCTCGCCATTCGCCATTGGCGATCGTCGAGACCCCTGCGGCCCACCCCCAACCTCGTGCCCCTACGCTAGTCGCACTTGCAGCCGGCGGCGGCCATGATTCCTCACACCCAAGACCGGGAGGCTAGCTATCTCTTTCTCTGGCTGCCCATCTGCACTCGCATACACTCTGACTCTGACCCTTGCCTTGCCCGTCGTCAGCAGGGTTTTGACCTTGCCCAGGTGATTCTTGATGGCCTCGTCCACTGTGCTGCGCGAACCCATCCGAAACACTTTCGTAAGAAACCCACCTCTGCATGAAGCTGGCCATCTTCTGGGGACCAAGCCTGCAAACTGCATAAGCCATAAGCATGGCATGGCATGGAATGGCACAGCATGAAGATCATGAAGCAGCACGTCCAACTTGCCATGAATTCGCAGGCACTGTTTTACGTCAGCATGTCACACCCGTGATAAGCCGTCGATAGCTAGCAGCTAGCACATACACCAGAGCTGGATGCTCGCGGAAACTGTGACATGAACACTTCAGTAGAACACATTCAGCCTCCAGTTGGGTGGCTTAGTTTCATTCTGACCTGTGTCATACACCTGCGTGGCTTGAGGAAGTGGTGGAGCAACTCACCTTCGATGCTACAGGAGGCGCACACAATATCCACGAGACCGCCAAGCAAAGTGTATGTTTCCAAGGGGCCGGTCTCAAGGTCCCAGAGGTCGACATTGTAGTCCCAGGAAGCAGTGACGATACGCTTCTTCCCGAAATCGGCATCGACGGCGACTGTCATTTCATGCTTGCAATCGATGGACGACTCCCACGTCGGCTTGCCACCATCCACATCCAGAGACCAGATCTTTACGAGCCCATCATCAGAACCCGTTGCGAGTCTTTTGCTTGCCCAATCCATCGCAAGGCCTCGAAGCAAGACCCAGAATCGCTTCCTGACCTAACTCCCAAGGCACAGCGACAAACAAGCCAAGTCTCAGTTCGGGTTGTGACCAGGAGTTTCACACATTGCAAACTGGCAACATTTCCTGTCCAGAAGGCGACATCAAGGTAGAACGCAACAAACAAAGCAGCGGAAGAAGTCGCAGAAGTTGCGGCCGGCAACAACAACATCCTGCACCGGTTCACGGAGCCGTGAATTCAAGGAACAAGTCCTCTCTCAAGCACCGTGGCTTTAGCAGGTTTGCTCATACATTTTTCGTTTCGTGGTTTTGCGACTCTGGCGCTCAGCAGCAACAGAAGTCCGCGTTGTTGGGCCACTTTGTTGTTCGCCATGTCAACATGGTACGTGATGACAGCACTATGTAAAGCAAGCTCAGACCCTGCCAACACACACCGGGATTTCCGAAGCTTCTGAAGCATCTGTCTGGTGGCACGATTTCCACACCCGTACGGTGAAATCTCAGACTCGACAGAGTAAGAGAGCATAATTTGCGAATGCATCATTTGCGACCATGAGCTGTGTAAGCGAATTGCTGGCGGTGGACAGAACGACAGATTCATGTACCTTCCGGCTTCAGTAGGTCGACTGTCACAGTTTGAAGACTTTGCCAGGCCCCTATGACACAGCAAGAAAACTCGCTTTGCCGCTTTGAAGATTGTGAAGGTCCAGTCTTCAGTCTTGATTGTCGGGATATCAACCTATACCGTATGTCGAAGGCCGAAAGAGCGAGGTCCTCAGATCCCACAAGATGAAACGGTACTCGTTGGCTGCTGATGCCACCATCCAGTGGTGAAAGTCCACGTCGATGGCATTGCCTGGTGAAGATGTCAGCCTAAAGAACACATAGTGACGGAAACAAACACTGAATCTACTGCTACTGTACCTGCGAGAAATCACGAGCCGACTGCACTTAAAGAAACGAAAAACAAGCAAGGCAGAAAACACGAAACAAACATGTGCATGAAAGTGGAAGCCTGAAGGTATGCCATAGCATCGGAGCCATGATAATCGTTCTAGAGGCAGAGCTATGGCTATACCTAATCTCATAAACCTCCACACTCCGCCCAGGCACAGTTGGCATTGTGTCCCTCGAATTTGTGGATGAGCTTTGCTGATCTCAAATCCTCGTGAACAAAGGCTTGCCACTGCTGAAAGTCAAGAATAAGGCTGCAGAAGCAAAGACACACCGACAATGCACCTGCATCCCATTCCCATTACAGTTACAAGAGTTAACGGCGGCAAAGCACATACCAATGCACGAAGCTGTCCCACGAGCAGGATACTGCCACGTTCTCTTCCCAGTCCACACGAAGACCCTGCATGCTGAGCTGGCAACAAGCTGCAAGCTAGCAACAGCGAGTTTCTTATGCTGTTACACTTGGTACATGCCGCAGCACTGTTCGCAATTCGCGAGTCGAACTGGCCTTGCAGTGATCTTGATGGCCAGGCAGCGACCTAGGCGGCCAATTAACCCTGACTTCCGGGACCTGCAGCATGAGCTGTCGCACACATCCTCATCCCGGCCGAGCCACGACACAAATGCTTGCCTTTGCAAATCCACAATTTTGATGGCACCAAAGTTTGTTCCAACAGCTGCCTTGCCATCTTCAAGCACCGCGTCCTGGGTGAGATCAAAATAGTCGAGGAGTGGGCAGTGGAGGATATCAAGGGATCGGAAAGTCTGCCTACTAATTAAACAAAGGGGTCCGAGGCATCGCATTGCAAACAGGATAAAACACATACCGCTGATGCCTTTCAGTTCACATCAACCCACAACAAACGAACTGACATCCGTGGTGGAACGAAACACAGCTGATTGCCAGATTGCTGCCTAACGGCAATGCACAAAAAGCCTTGCTCTGCAGTTCTGTCTTTAAACGAGTCCGGGTGCTCCTTCTTCGGATCCTGCACAGGCCACAACATGCAGGACCTCGCAGTAAATCTCGGCATGCTGCACTTCCATTACCACTTGAGCTAAATGTAGCTGAATGCCTAGCCTAGCTCCGGCTGGGTCTGCCTCCTGCACATTGTACACGGAGATCTTGCCGTCAACTCCACACGTCACAAACTGCATCTTCCGCCTTATTCTCGTTTGTCCTGCTGTCTCCGAAACCCAATCCCTGGCCCAGCACTTCCCGTCGTCTATGCAATTCAGTCACCAATCGACGGCGAAGTCAGTGCATGGCATGGAGTGGAGCTGCTTGCACCTGGACATCAGCTGTCTAGAAAACAACAGCAGCGACTATGGTCGGAACAGAGCTTTCACATGCACCACCATCTACCTCGCACCGGCTGGCCTTACAACCGGTGGAACTCGATTTCCGGGAATGACAGGCCAAAGAAAAAGAAAGCCGTCGCAGCCCGTGGCTGCCACCCAATCTGCCTGATCTGCTTCAAACGCTGAATTGCATCCACTGCCACTCGCGATGCCTTGCCAAGCAGCATGGGTGTTCAGCTCCTGCCACAACTCGAGATCCGGCGCTGGTACGTGCCATTTCGTGTGGAAGCCTTGTTCGCATAACTGGGCAGACACAGAGTACACCAAGATGGCAAGAGAGCCCAGGACAGGAGGTGAGGCGGCGGCTGTTTGTGTCCTCATGCAGCGGACTCGTCAAATCATACTGATCCAGAAGCCACTGTTCCTTGACATACCACATCCCCTGCTACGCTTCCGGTGGTCATGGCTGCCATGACCACGTCATGCAAGCACGTGCAGGAAATGTCTCGACCAGGTGTCATGAATCGTCTTCTCTGACAGGAAACGGCGAGCATGCTGGCAGTCCAACACTAGCCTGAATCCAGAGATGGGCATGACGACTACCGGGCTTTGGCACTGCAAAACTGAAGGAACGTCTGATTGATTCACTGCCTGTGGGCCTGCAGGTGAGTTTGCCCGCAGGCCTAGAGGCATGCCACACTCGCTCCCCTTATCGCAGTGTCTCGAGCAAAACCATGAGAATGGAGCGACAGCATATGACAGCACTGTGCAAGGTCTCACACATCAGGTACGTAATTACGAGAAGCTCGGACCAGAGCCAAACGTCAAAACAGCTCTGAGGCGCAGAGCCACTTGAGCACCCGCACAAACTTGGATGAAGCGGACTGTGGCTTGTTTTGGCGAGTGGAGTGGGGACTCCAGACTAAGCTCGGCGAGAGAGATGACATGAAGGCGTTCTCCTTTGTCACAGCCATGTTTCGTCAAGTGCGATGATGCCATGCAAGCACGAACAGAATAGAGTCGCCCTCTGGCAGACATCCCAACAAACACCAGTGACAACCGCTCGCTCCGCTTGAAGCTCGTGACGCTCCCCTTCGTCCTGTCTCTCTACAGCTGATATGAAGCAAGGCTTGTTTTGCTAGTACCTAACCCGCTACAATGACAACAAGTATCCTAAGTCTCCGCTCCAATACTCAATAGGCAAGCAAGGTACACTCACCTGACCTCACATGAACATAATGCGACCTTGCACTGCAGTGCTCATGGTTAGTACGATCTTAGGGCCTCATCAGATTCACCGCAAGGAGGCCCCCTGTCCGGCCGGGTAGCCTGTCCACATCACCGTACCTTGCCTCAAAGAAGCGCATGTCCTCACAGCCAGTAAAAGTCCTAACACCACAAGCAGGGGCGAAACACTTCAGTCTCCTCGCTCTGCATGCACGTCGCGGCCGCATCCACAATGGCCTCTTGATCATCGGGGTCGGCAATTCTTGGCATCTTCGTCTGCACATACTGCCTTTGCAGTTGCGGACAGGGGGAAGAAATCGAAGGCAGATGCGTGAAGGTGCTTCGCGAACCAGGAGTCTCACACCATCTCAATCCTGCGTGGTCAAATTATGTTATGTCAAATTTGCTCGGCCAAGCAATGGCAGTTGAGACAGGTGGCAGCGTGAGCAAGCGCATGTGCTTTGCCCCGAGAATGCCACGCTGCAGGAAATACTCGAAGTAATGCAACAGCCCAATGCCTCAGCTTCTTCAGCAGCAACATCTGCAGAAGCTGAGCCGCAGAAGCAAAGACCAGCGCCTGTGTGTAGGTGGCATGAAGGTGGACTGATCAAAAAGTCGAGAGTATGGAAACCGGTCCTAGAATTTCTAAGTTGGATTCTGTTGTTGCAACTGTGCAGTCAGTCTGGGAAAAGAACACGAAGATGCCGTACTGCATTTTTCCATCCACTTAGTGAAGGACAACATCTTTTTGGCCGTTGCTCTTCAGTCTCTCTTGAATCAACAGCTACCTGCAGGCTACAGCCACACAGGAAAACCGTGGAAAAATCTGTGGACCCTACGTGTCATACATGCATCAACCAGGCGTTGCTGACAGGCAACTTTCCAACACGCTGGCAACTTGCAGGAAGCTCATCTTGATTATCTCCCACATCCTGTCACAGAACCGAGCCGTAGACAGAACATGTCCGACATGTATCCGTGATTTTGCAGCATTTAAGCTGAAACAATAACAAAGAACCCGTCTGAGACAGCGCCCAATCCGACAGCCACAACAGCCGAAAACGACGTAGAGAAGCACTATGCCCGTGCAATCAATGGCCTGTCGTCATCACTGAGTCCTCTTAACCTTGCATCATCATGGAACAAGCCTTGCAGGGACACTCTTCTCAAGATACTGCTCAACTGTGTGAAACCAAATCCAGAATGCATACGGCAGAAAGGTTGGTTGGCCTTCTCGGGACATCTGGTGCTCTCTCTGATCATCCAGCCTCTTCTCCCACGCAAGTTTCTCTCGCCTTAGCTAATGATGAAAGTAGTTCGCAGTAGACAGCTATAATCGCAACATCAAAGAGATATGAGAATCAGGCTTTTAGAATGGGATGATGATGATGATCCCACTTGCCGTTATGGCGTCATGCTGATAGCCATGGTGATAACGATAATGACGATGATGATGATCGTCATCATGATGATGACGATGATGGAGGAGCTGACATCTGCCACACCCGTCACCTTGATGAAGATGGTGGATGATGGCGAGGTCGAGTACCAAAACGATAATGGAGACGGTGTTGATGGTGTCGCAGTCAAGATCGTGGTGGTGATGATGGCGCTGCTGACGATGATGATGGTGATGATGATCATCAGCAGCAGCATCAGGGCTCATGACACATGCCGAGCCATGCGGATCCATATAGCCTATAGGCCTATAGCTTTCATCGGAGCGGCCAAACCTTCTTCTCGGACTCGTCCAGTTCCACCGCCGGTGTTTGGGAGTCAGCAGGCGGCATTTCTCCAAGTCAAACGCATCAGGTGGACGACCAGGAAAGAACTAGCAGGTTGCTTCAGCGCTAAACATGCCAGAACAGTTCCAGCATCTAGCACCCCCTAACACCCCTGGCATGCCTTCTTGAGCCCATTGGTAAAGCTGCGGAAATTCCACGAGCACACCGATGTGAGAGAAATCCGAAGCCCAATGATGAAGACTCTTGTCGCTGCTAGGGGCCTCGGTTGCTGCCAAGTAGGTGCCGACATCCGCACTCAGGTGCTCGAGGCCTCCAGCGATCAGAAGAAGCACTGCCGCAAGCATGACGAGACACCGCTCTCAATAGACAAAGGCGGTGGAGCCTGTCTAGCTGAGTGACAGACGACCATCCAAAGTGACCAGGTCAGACCTGATCGCTTCCTCCAGGGCTCCTTCTTCGGCCTTAGACAGAAATAGCACTGCAGTCCCGTTCAAGAGTTGAATTGAATCGCACTTTCCTCAATTCACACGGCTTCTTCCATGGCTGACCCCTGCGAAACAGCTGAGCCCAAGACAACATGGTCTGCAAGGAGCTTAGTCAAGCGCTCGATGGCCTGTACCACGGCTGCCACAAGGGCCCATACCCATGAAGCAGCTATGCTTGTAATGATCTTGCAAGTCGCTTCTTTGCCTCACGCTGTGAGACCCGATCGATAAAGCGAGCTTCATCAGCTAGGGCCTGAAGCAAAGCCAGCGAGCTGCACCATACTGCTCACAACGACCCAGGCTTTCTTGAGATGGTGGACCGCTTTCCACTGCTGTGACTGGGCAATGCTGAAGCCGTCCTCTACACGGCGCAGTGTCGGACTCCCAGACAAGCCACTACTCCGCAACTCCTCTCCCACCACGTGTGGATCATGGTTGAAGGTGCCCAAGTAGTTCAAGTTCACCTCCAAACTGTCCCCTGTCAATCTAGGACCTGGGAGTCTGCGATTGAAGATGCCCAAGAGTGCCTCCATACCGAACTTGGTGCCGCTGTAACCTGCTACAGGTCCAGACTGAGGCTCAGAAGGCCGCGAACCCGCACATCTTTGTGGAAGGCTTCGCCTGTAAAGCCGTAGAACATGTTCGGCACGGGCACCTGATAAGATTCTCCAGTGAAAGAGCCTCATCACACAGACACAGATTCCCCGATCTGAGACGTGGCACTGCGAGGGTCTTTGCAGGGAAGCTGGCAAGCTTTTGCCATGGCTCATCCTCCACCTCCTGGACGTTATGTCGGGACGGCGTACACCGCACATCTAACCAGGTTCAGTACAGCACACAATGCATTCAATGCCTGCCCACCAAGATAAGCTATTGCCTCGCGCTGCAATTCTGACAAATTCTGCTCGAGTCGCTTCGAATGTCAGCACAATGGAGGTGGTAGAATTAAGTTTATGAGGATCTGCCGATGATACTTCTAATCTCACAGCCAGACAGCAGCTCGGAGCATCCCTGACAGTTGAAGCTGTGGTCCCTGCGCGGACAGGAAAGTCAGGAAGCTCTTGCACCGCCCGGTTGCCTATCGGTACAGGTGCTGTGCTGACATGACATCCACTCCTTCCCGAAGCCTTCGAGACGCAGAACGAAGTTAGCTTCGAACAGGGTTATGTTGAGTTTGCCACCTTGCCAGCAAGTCTGCTCAAACAAATGGCCACACTCGCAGTCTGGCCTGGGAGCACGTTCCATCGTCCAGAGTTGGGATGACCCTGAAATCCGAGAGAAGCAAGTACGAGCATTGGTGGAGCGTGCTGCCCTGCCTTCCAACTCAGTGTGTTGTCAGGCTGAAGGACAAAAGTTCCTTTCACCTTGTTGTCCAACATTCACACAGAGGAAAAGCACCCGTCGAGTGGGTTGTCGGGCACGCGGACAGGTGGATGATGGGTGTGGGCGGGTTGTCGGCCGATCCAGGTGGTTGTGAGTGAGTGTGGGTACTGTGTGCGTTTGTGCAGCTCTGTCTCTGTCTGTGTGATTAGACATGTGTCTCTCTATCTGTCTTACTGCTTACTTGTCATGTTGGCTCTCTCGGCTATTGCTGCAGACCTGAAACTCCTCAAGGCATTGGCGTCCATGAATCCGGATGTACTTTGTATGACGACAAAACACAGAATAAAGAGAAACACTCGCAAAAACATTGAAGTGAATCCTTATGTGCGATGCTCGGCATGGTGCTGAGGTGAAGGCCTCCTGACCGTCTGGAGCCCAGGACCACACGGCTCCCGCAAGATGAGCCATACCCTGATCGATCTTCGTCAATGGCTTTTGCAGCATCTGCCAAGCTCGCTTCATCTTAGAAATCTTAGACGCTGGCTGCCTGCCGCTTGCTCACGACGATGCTGCCATCAGCATGCACCCTGACCTCTGCTTGACTCCAGAAATTCTTCGGCCGACCTACAAGGCAACCGACTGGTTCATAAAATTGCAGGATGAGGTACCTTCACCTGTCCGGAGCGACAGGCAAAGAGCTCTGCATGCACAGCCTGTGCACTTGTCAATTGGGATATGCAGCACTGAGCCTGAGTAGACGCGGTGTTCTTGTCCGGCAGCCAGTCGCCAGTCACAACCGTTGCCCTGGAGTCCTGCTGAAGGTGCAAGAAGGTGACGTGAGTTCAGCTTGAGCAGCTTCCGCTTCCTTCAGCACATCTTCCAGAGGCGTCGGGATGGGCCGTGTCCCATCTGAGAATACCGCAGCCACCGTCTGCCTTCTTCCACCACGCGCAAACCACATCCTGACCTGTGCCGTCGAACAGAATCGGGCCTGAGTTTCCGATCCCGGTCAAAGGGGAGGAAAATGACGGCAATTCCCTTGAAGTCGGGCCTCGGCTTGCAGGCCACCCCTGAACGGCAGTCACCGGCACCGAATGCACTGAAGATCGGACTTGTAGCCATTCTCAGAGTACCCAAGCTCTTTCAAACCGACTCTCCTCGGCTTGTTAGCGAGTGTCCGGCACACAAACACTCAAACACAAGACATCCGCCCTTGAATCTGCCGCTGAAACACCAATCCATGTTCCTATCGCGCAGCACTTTCTCCACCAGTGCCTTCTCGGAGACGACATTCGACTGCAAGCATACTTGCGCTGCTTGCTCGCCCAGCCTTCTCGTTGAAGCTCTTCGTGCAATCCTCCGTGCCCATCCAGAAAGCCAGACTTCCATCCTCCAAATGATGACAAGTGAGCATTTAGGCAGGCAAAAGGATTGGAAATCGGAAGAACTTACTCATCCTGTTGCGTGTTTCGCGGGAGGCTGCCAGAAATTGCGAAGACGACTTCAAAGTCTGTAGATTGAATCACCTGCATTTGCGTCATGTGTGCAGACACTGCGCTCGGCATAACTCAAACTGCTACATGTTGGCCAGCACATGATCCGAACTAGTGCTTGATGCAATGAAATGACTCTGTCGGCAACCCCACACTGCTTCCCGTTTCCGGTTGAACTTGGCGAGCCAGAAAGAATCATCCAAGCTGCCTTTCGGTCTGACGCACATCGGTTGGGCTTCGAGCCTTCTTGTTCCATAGGAAGGCATGTCTGTCTGCAATCGCAGGCATTAGAAGCACTCGGTCCTGCAGTTGAACAGGAAGTGAGGTTCACTGCATACGAAAAAACAATGACGTCGGCAGCGTCTGTCTGACTTCCTGCATAGGCATGCTTGCGGCGCTGAGCAACCTCACGCAGCAAACATGATCGAAAGTCGGCTTCGTGGAACGTCTATCCATCTGAGTCTGATGCCATGTTTCGTCATCATCATGCCAGGGCAATGTACGCTCAAACGAATGTCTTGGCAATATCCAGCTGTCGCCGGGACCACGCAGATGTCCTTCGGACGTTTGCGTCGTTATCAAGACAAATTTTCTCTCGACTGACAAGCCTGGTGGCACCCCAACAATTTCCAGAACGACCTCGGGTAGCACGCAGTTCCGGCTTGCTCTGACAAAAGATAACATCCGGCATGCTCTGATAAAAAATAATCTGTCCACCGACTCAGGCCCAGGCCGAAAAAACGGTCACCACATACACTGCCCGCGCTCGCCATGACTGAAGCATGTCAAGCTTCCACTCCAGACAATGGAGTTGATGATCTTGCCGCATCTGTTATGTTCAACCATGTGCCGCATTCCGGCATGTCTCTTTACTCCTAAGCAGCTTTAGCACAAGCCTTTAAAACAGCCTTGCATTGACATGGTGCATCCTGTTCTGGTATGCATTACCACAATATCCTTGTACAAATGCAAAAAGGTCCACTGCATGTCAAAGAACACGATAGGCACGAATGCAAGCAGGCGGGCCAAAAGCGCTTCTGTCAACACTGTTGTTCTTGATAGTTGTTGATGCACGTGTGGGAAGATTGTGCAATGAGCCATATAATTATCCAACGCTGTGCCAGTAGGCAGTTGTCAAATGCACGTACGTCCAAAGTTGGACTGGTCGAGAATTCCCAAACCGGTTCGAGCACCCTGCAAAAAGCCAGGAAAATTGTGCTTTGACTTTTTCCGCAAGGGCAAGAATTGGCTTCAGCCATTTTCGCTCTTTGCCGCATGGCCTTTTTTGGCGTCGGCGGGCCTCATCGGCTTCGACAGCAGCACTCG